TTCCTGAGGCTGTTCCGCGTTGCAAAGACCTGGGACGGTGAGAACGTGCGGCCGTCTACTGCACCGGTAACGAGGCTCTCGTTGGTTCCTTAAAAGCCCGCTGACGTCGGAATCCTCGAGGATGATCGTGCATCTCCACTTGTTAGAGAGTTCCTAAAAGACTTTACCAGCATCGCCAGTATATGATAGAATATTCCGAGAGAGGAACAAGAATCTAGAGACCGATCACGGTGCGATCAAGTCTTGCGCCACATGAGTATCCTTTAAACGAGAGCATACCATTTTTCCAAGAATCTCATCGTACAAACTGCATATGGTAGATAGGTAAAGAAATTAATTATCACGGAGATTTCGAATGGTAGTGGGTATAGAAACGCGTAACGCGGAGCTGAAAAGTTGGTGGAGATAGGGAGTTAATACGTGGCCACGGGTAATGAACGCGTGTTAACCAGTTTGTTATCGGTAAATGGTGCCCACTATCCTCTTGTGTGCGAGAGTAAAGCAGCAAAACAGCCAGAGAGGGAATGAGGTAGTAAACCAAGCGAACCTCTCGAGACTCCATCCAAGATGTACCTACGTACCAATACGTACCAATACGTACCAATACGTACCAGTATGTAATGCACTAGTACTTATGCCTACCATGTGTCTTATCTTGAGATCATCTGCTGTTAATCTGAATCTCGCCAACCTGTACCTCATGGACCCGATTTCCTATTCGTAGTCGCTGCGGAAGTGACGTTCATCTCGTGTCTCGCTTTGTCTCGCGTTCAGTCCGATTACCTCGTAGACTGCATTCACTTGGCCGATCGATAGTTGCGATTGCTTTCAGTACACTAATACGATCAAGATGGATGTGAAAGACAGGAGAAAAATATAGCTTAGTTATCTATCGGGATTACTTATCTAATATCTGTCAATATTGGAATTTCTAATAATCATTTGCTTTATTTATTTTTTTTTAAAATGACAACAAGAAGCGAGCATGTGGATGGGAACTAGATGATTTAAAATACATATTGTACATTCCTTTAAGATAAGAATAGCTCAGAAATTGTCATGAAATGTTTATCAGAATTTCTTCGATATCCATTATGCATATTGCAGACTGTATTTCTTTTAAGAATCAAAACATATTCTTGAAGTAACTATAATAATATTTCTTTAAGGAAATGGTAGTAATTCTACCGTTCAGTGACTTTTTTACTTCACTCGTGGAGTTCAAATTAAAGACACTGCCAAGACTTAGCGTGACTCGTCCGTAGAAGTCACGTTCATCGAAATTGGTCGCGACTTTGTACAGACCAATACGCTGAAACTAGACGCGGCAACCATCCGGAAGTCATGAATTTTACCAATGAAATAAATATATGCTTAAACAAAGAAATAAAATATATTTAATGCAAAACCATACTTATGCATACTTTGTAATAAATACTGTATGCAGTGACACGTATACGTTGCTACAAAGACTTCGTTGTTTTCGATCTGTCAAAAATGCACATGGAACCCATGGACCGACTATATGCCGTCATGATATCAAGAGTGGTTAAACAAAAACAATATAATAGCGATAGCAGGAAATACTACTGAAATTGTCTTGTATAATCGATAATGTAAAGAGTCGATGAGCCTTAGAGTAAAGGAGTAGTTGATGATCAGTTTGAGATATATCCAAGATTGTTCCTCGTAATTAAACTCTCTAATCGATATTAAAATTTGTAGGGATATTCGAGCAAATTTAAATTCCAACGATCTCTAGGCGAAGCGTTGATTGCAATGCAGAAATTACGGCGCATTCCGTTACATTTAATCAGTGATTATTACAGGGCGCAGAGTAGATGAAAAATGCATGATCGAATGATGCTGCGATCGATGTAACTAATGAATTTTTGAGCGTAATACGATTTTGCAAAACAACACTATACATTTAAAGGCTCATTTATAACGATCGATGTATAACGACGTCGAATAACGATTTTTACGTTGTCCTATCGGCAAAAAAAATTAACCGTCTCTAGTTATCGATACTTGAAAGATTGAGTGGCTGATATTGTAAGCCGATGATGCTGATACTGACATCAATACACTGAAAGGCATGTGACCCCATATGCGAGATGGATCCGCCTCCATGTGTTTTAATTACAATAATTAACCCCACTCTTAATTGTCCCAACCACCTCTACCATATCCCTCTACCTCATTCTACGGTCAGGCACTTCACACGCCTTCCCCCTAAGATTATTTAATAGCGTCTCTTTGAATATACGTATGACGTCATACCCACCTACGCATCTCATGAAGCCTGGGATCTCGACGAACCTTGGTACTTCTCAGCATTGGATGAAGAACTTTTTAAATGTCAATTCGAATCCATTTCTGTAGGCCTATAAATTTTTCGTATAATGTCGTGGAGCATTGGGGGCTTGAGCGTTTATTGAAACACGATAAAAGTGCAACAAAATCAAGTTTAGATTCACGTAAATACACCAATGTAAACTGTAAAGTGCTTGTATGCTGTTTTGAATAAGAATAGCTAATAAAATTACTTGGAAGGGAGGAAGGTGGAAAAGGAGTAAAAAGGTTAAGATTGTACTAGGTTAGGTTGAGGAATACATTACAGCGTAAGCTCGTTGTTATACCTATGTATGTCGTTACTTGTATTTCTAGCTTAGACGAATGAATTGAAATACGAATGTCAGACTGTGGGTTTAAATTCAAAGAATCTATTTGCATAAAGTTTCGAGTAATGTATTTATGACGTATTCACGTAATACTTATGATATTCTTTGATTTCTTTCGTTAATGTAATCATGGTAAATTAAGAGCAGTTATTTGATGCAATCCTTAATGAATATGAAGATTATGGAATTGTTGGTGGTTATTAATGATTTTGTAATCGGTTGTTGTTTTTTAAGGTAGATATGGGACATATGGTAATGTTTTGTGCATTCAACATTCAAAAAAAAATTGTGTGGGTGCTTGCGTATGTATGTGCATGCAACATTTTGTGAATAAATTTTCAAACAAACAGCTATACACCTATTGGACTAAAATTTATACGAGATATCAAGTTTACGATGTGAATTTAATAGCAACATTTACATATTTCCAACACTCCGTCGTACAATTTATATGAGAACTTAAGTTCGGAATGTGGACGGCATAGGAACATTTTTAGATATTTTGATATTTGGTTACACAACGGCATATGTTCGACAATGTATGTGTTGTGCCAATTGACTGGGTGAATCGCTTAACCAATTGGGTTGAAATTTATAAAAAATATCATAATCATATATATAGAGCAATCACATTTGCGAATATCGAACTTTTCCCCTTTGAAAATTTCGTTTTCGCAAATTAAATTTTGTTGCATCACTGTCGGAAAGTTTACAGTTTGTGCACCAAAAAGAAGCACGAAATGGCCGATTCTTGATGAGTTCACAGTGTGCGGGAATCATCAAGAATCGGCTATTTCGTGCTTCTTTTTGGTGCATATCCTGCGAACTTTCCATACAGTGTTGCAAAAAATAGTATATGATACGCGTGCGGGTTGGTGATTCCTACTCCTGTGACGTTTGCCACCCTCGCTTCGCTCGAATCGATTCGAATCATTTGCTGATACGATTGCTCGTTCGCTCGGGCGGCAAACTTCACACTCGTCAGGAATCACCAACTTTCCGCACTTGTATCATAATATACTATGTCCAACGAATGTATGAAACATGGAGACTACATAAGGAGAACAAACTCAAATGGAAAAATTGACAGAACCTGCTACTAATATCGTTCACATTACGTTTTTTTCTTTCTGTACCACTAGCATCGCTAGTCTCCCATTAGTACTGACATGAATATAGCATAATAAATACATGTGAAGTAAGCGGGCAAATATTTACAAATAATTTCTATTTACAAATAAACACGCTTCTAACCTAAACATCTTAATAAATATATTTAATAGATATAAATAGTTCATTTAAATAAAATCTATATTAAAAACTGAAAACTTTATTTAAAAACTTCGATGATTCTTAGTGATAATAATTCTTATTGAAAGTATTTTTTAATTTTAATTTTCTATTTTTATCGATCAATTAATTATTAATAGATTAATAATAATTTCATTTAAAGAATTGAATTTTATATTTAATAATAATAATTTTTGTATTACTTATTTAATTTAATTTTTTGTTTTAATTTAGCTTTGCACATTTTTATTATTTGTTTATTTAAGTTAAAGTAGGCTAAATTATTTATTTTATAATTTTCGAAGTACATCAAAATATGATCTTCAGTTTAAACTCCCGCCTTATACCCCTCCACTTTATCGGTGCATACAGAACACTAGTGCCCTCTTATCTTGGGAAGCTGTTTGCGTACATGGAGTTCGTGCTCCTTCTGTAGCCTCCATGGTATGAAATGCCACTGCATAGTTCAAGCGATTATGTCTCACAGCCAACCTGTTTGCTCCAATTTTTTTCGTACATAAAAATATGGAACATGTGTAATATATTCTGTAAAATCGTTATAGAATGAATAACCTGATTGGGAGGCAAAAGTTATGAATTAGATGTACAACGATATTTAAATAAGGCACTAAGTCCAGATAAATATGCCTCGGTGATTACACGAATGGAGTGTTTAATTCACTTGAGCATGCGTGCCACTTGAATTGTGTAATGCAAAGTCAAGTGCCTAAAGCAATTGCCAAATATGTATGCTTAATCTTGTCAATTTAAGTTTTATGCAATTTGCAAGAATGATAGTGACATTACGCACCACCCACGTTTCGTAATGGCGCCTTGATATCCTTGAAATATGGACGTACCGTACTTTTCGAAGCTAATAAACCTGTTTATCATTATCCGTTTCATAGGTATTACTCTTCTCGAATCCTTAACACTTTAACCGGTTCTTTTTTTCAAATATGACGTCGAGTATAATATATGTGCAATTACATATTAATGTCACAATCGATAAACGATATAGTTTAACTTCACGTTGCGACTCACCTAATTGAAAATGTAGACCATAGAAGAAATTAGGTCGTAAAACAGTTTATAAAAATCCTTTGAGTTTTGATAAAATTAATTAAATTTAAATATACTTTTGGCATAAAAAAATATACCGTCGAAAAATGTCCCAAATATACATATTTGAAACGTTTGCATCAAAGTTAACCTTAAAGTCCGACGTGGTGAAAGATGCAGAAACGAAGAATTTTATTATAAAAATTAATTTCCTCAACTTTCCTATCATGGAGATAAATTCCACACATAAATCATCTACAGATATAATATCCGAATACGAAGAATTTATTTTTAACAGTGGACAGTTGCATCATTTTAATGCCAAACCGAAAGACCTCATGAAGTCTATAATAAAGAATCCATTAAAAATTGGAATTTTTCGTCTCGGAGATTCTTTCCCATTATGTGAAGCAATAATTCCGTTTTCTGGCTGCGCATGTGAATTAGTGAGAATTGTTTTATTACAAATCAGCATAAAAGTGTCAACTGATTAGTAACAGTGTTTAATCCATTTCGCATATTATTATTAGTCTTTATATTCTGGAATTGGGAAAAGCCCTAAGCCATTGGAACTGGAAGGTCCGTTTTACTTGATGGATCCTGGCAAGAATTCAGCGGGTCATGTTCAACTTCAAGTTGCTATAAAGCCTTATGGAAGGTAAGTTAGGATTTAAAAGCGACCGTTAATAATAAAGTACCGGATAATTGAATATGGATCAATAATATTTAGATCTATCCACACGTATTATACATTGCAACATGATATCTTGACGTTTAAGAAGATTGGGTCGACTGAGGATTATCAATGCACATTGATAAATGTACCTGCTGTTTGCAGTAATACTGAAAATAATTCAGTCCCTGATTCGAATAGCATATATTGCAAAAGAGGTATTGAATTCAATGCCGCAGATGACTCGGATTCTGCGAAGACAACCAAGGAAAAGTTTGTAAACGCAATTACGGGAATATCACTAACAGCAGACCGTCTCACTTTTGACAAAAAAACTCATCCAAACCCGGCAAATCTTTGATTACACGCAACAAGTTTAACGCAAAAGTAACACACGATTACGACAGAGACCCAATAGCAGCACTTTGAAGAATTTCATTGAGCAGCATTAATCTATTTTGAAAATGAAGATCGATGTCATTCAAAAATTACAAAAATCTTTATATGAGATAAACTGGTTAAAATTCGATAAAACTAATACTTTCTAGACACGCGTATAGCATGCGATACTGTAGTATCCTGAGATTCTATTAAGATTGGAAAAAATGTCACAGCAAACTAGTCTAGTTACCAACAACGATGTTAGGCTCTTGGCGTCGTAAATATGTATACAGCAGTAAGTTTGATTAAACATAAAAGGCATAAAGGGCATCGAGGGCAATAGGTATAGGTATCCATGTTCCGTAACGAAGTTTGCGTCTAATGAGAGAACGATGAGCAGAGATGATTAGACAAGTTCATTATAAATCAAGAATTTATTTCCTTCTAGACTTCTTGATTAAATCGTAAGTTGCCAGTACTCAAAGTCAGTGTGACTACTGAAAGTCTTCTGGTGGACCATTCAGCATCGAAGAAAGACTCGAACGATTGTGAGTAGTAGCAATCGAGAATGAGCAGACTTCATCCTTTCTGCTCGGAATGATCTTTTGTATCGGAAAAGACATCCGGCTTTTGAGCAATTCAAGAACCCCGAGCAGGAGCCAGTGGACTGAATCCGAAGCAATCGTGATCATGCGAATGTGGCGTGCTATACGATATTTAAATCTCTTTCTTAATGGTGCAGTCCTTATCGTTAGTTCGAGGCTAGTGCAAGCGCAGCTATTACTTTTGAGAAACAGTTACAACAATTCCAAGCAATAAGTAGTCCTATGTGAGTATCTCACAAGTGACATTAAAAGCAATGGAGAAGCGTATGACTATTTTTGCTGTACATTTGCATCGAATTAACCTTCTCTTAGCGGCTGTAGAAATGCGATTACCGACACTCGTATTATTATTAATTTCCACCGCTTCCGTACACTTTTTCAATAATTCAGAAACTCATATTCCGTCAGATTATAACCGCCTCATAAAATTAACTCCTTTTTTTCACATCGTATCGTGCAAAGCGCAGAGCTTGAACTGGCGACCCTTCGCGTTTTAATGTCACATTCGAATTCGCAAACGAACAAAAGATGATTCGCTAAAGTCAATCCGTTCCCGGCGATATTAGACGCTTAAGCGTGTAAGGTAAATCACCGGCGGGGACATTGCGTATAGTGTGGATAGAGGCTATGCCAGGGACTACGTCGTCGGTGCAGCAGACAGGTAGGTAGGCAGACAGGTAGGCAGGTAGGATAGTATTAACGATCGTGCGTGAAATCGAAATCTGAAGATTTCGCGCTGGCGGTGGACACGAGGTATATCGTGAGCTCGCGTGTTTGCGGATCGTAACTTGTCGTTCCTTGTCGTAAGGCGGGACGTAAGGTCGCGACGAATTTACGCTCCTGGCCGAGGTTGCTGCCAGGCCGGATGCCCATAAAGGCTCGTTTACGCATGCCGAAAGTCGTTCGGCGAATATAGCAAAGGTGTCCAAGCATTGGAAAACGAGATGAATGTGATGTAGAAAAAGGTGCGAAGATCGGATTATACAAAGGCGTTCTTGATTCCTCTTCATCGCGTACCAGGCACCTTGGCTACTATTCCCTTTCATAGTCTCGGATGGTCGTCACGAACACATTGCCGAACCAGATGAAAAAGCACAGCTTTCTCGAGCAAGGAAGCAATTATCTCCTTAGTCCCGGCAATGTATGGGGTTACTGAAAAACAGGGTAACTCTCTTCTGTACGCAGCCTGGTTTAGTTTACGGCGCTCTTTCGAGCCCACAACGTATGGCCTATGAAACGGCCATAGTCGAAGTACTAAATACACCATAAAGCAAGGGGATTGCCTGTAAACTGTAATGCTCCATGTGGTAGACGACTCTGTCTTGTTAAATCCCATGCTATTTTCCAATATGCTCTTACCTCGTGGGCTTACGGTCAATGATAATTTTCTTTTGATTTGGAAGCAAAAACGTCACAACATTGCCGACCTAATTCAGAAGCTTATTTTAAGTTTCTTCAGAGTTAATTATTATCCGGTGTGACGAATGACCAATAATTATCAATGTAATAATTATTTAAGATAATTTCAAGGATACGAGATCCATACTGTGACGACGAAATTATCTGATAAGCCGTAATACTATGCGAACAGTTCACTTAGTTATGGCTGAAAAAATACAACTATCGTCGAGTAAATTCTGTTAGTTTACAGTAGGTCGAGGAAAGAGTAAAGATATGTTTCAGATTGGAATTCGGTAATTTACGATACGGTAACATGAGTTACGTACCAGTTTAATTGGAGAGCCAGACGAAATTTTCGCTCGAGTCGATCCTTAATTCCAGCGATGCGTTTTAGCGGATTCAATCGGGACGAGGAAGTGTCCGTAATGAATTGACGGGATCATTTAGATAGCATTGTAGCGTACAGCTGCTGATTATTTCTAATGAAGCTTATTTATCGCACTATTCACCTCGGCAATATCTTCCCGAGTAATCGTCCCTCTATAGTTCGTCCACCAGGAGATCTTGCCCTCGTTAGAGGTTAGCTTCGCTTTGTTCGTTCGCTCGTCGCCTTCTTCGCGCTTCTACTTGGTTCCCTGGACGTGGAACGAACCTTAACGTGAATACCTTCTAGTTTCGTTTTATTCTCGACTACCAGGGAAAATCATATACCGGAGCCCAACTGCAACCCTAATGTAATAATAATTGGATTATTTACATTTAACTGACCTAACTTCATAAGCGTCTTCGACTCGGCTGCATTTGCGCCGCATATTTTACGCAAATGGCTCCAAGTCGTTAATTGTTTTGTGTACAGTGTTGGTCAGCCGACTGATAACCAGTTGTTCACTCTAAAGGACTAAATATATACATTAAAACTGTATGCCTACTTTTTGCATTTCAAGCGTTATTTAATATCATTGCGAATTATACCTTTTAATTTAGCATTATTTCTGCTTAGTACTTTCTTGTCTATGAATCTGCTTCTTTGCGTTAACTCCGTTTAAGGGTCATATTAATACTCATTTTGCATTATGCTATGCTATGTGTATTATTTATAAGTTAATTCTCAAAGGCTAATTGTAAGTCAACAGTACATCGATATGAGTTCATTTACATGCAAATATGACAATAAATTATGCCCAAAATATTAGATACATTTCAAAAGAATTTCCCTTGAAGTTTCTAATATATATTTACAGCTTTGAAGCTGATTGTTAAATATCACTGGTTTTTATCGATCTTAGAAACCGATCGCTAACAGCTCGATTCGACTCGCACTGGCAACAGGAGCACGAATGATTCGAGTCATTAATAACGATACGCACAGTGCTCACCAGGATCCGAACACGCTACCATTTAAATGATTGCAGATGACCATTGCTCGGCGTAACATCGATCAAACGCTCCATGCTTCGTCAAGCGCCGACAAATAATTGTCCACTTCGTTGTAGGACTAAACCGAGCAAAGTTGACTTTGTATGAGTCAAACATTACGCGACCGACCTCTTGTTCTGATAAGGTTGTTTGACTGACTCGGATTGACATCTGCATGACGGATACACGGGTTATCAATGAACGAAAATTCGAAATAGGGCGGTAGAAGTAACTATGCTTCGTTAGAGGCTGTGCTGATAAAACACATTTATACAATTTACAATTAAACTTTTAACTGCGCGAGACTCATTTTATTGCTAGATTTTTCATTTACCTAGTCATAAGGATGTATTAGTTAAAGAAACATAATTTTTTCAAGTCAAGTTTTGCCATAATTATGCCCTACATGGTATGCATTATCCCGGTTGCACTGTAGGTCTATGGCATTTTTCTGGCTCGTGACCCCGGATGGGATCCTCTGTATCTGCAGGAAGCGAATGGCTAAGATACGATACGCAAGAGCACATTAATTGCGATACTAATTAAACAACAGATTTATCATTCTTAGTGACCGTGCGCCGCGGGTGGTGTCTCGCTAATAACCCCGCCGATTAATTGAAACCGAGTCCTTTGAAGAAACCAATGCTACGAGTTTCCAAGGTACGAGCTACGAACTACGGGACTGTGCAGCGTACAACTGGTTCGACGTTCGATTATTTATTACGGACCCTTTGCGGGCTCACGAACAGAAACCAACCTATCTTTCAAAGTCCCTGAAACGCACATGGTAACTCGTTCAATTTCTTACGTGTAAGCATCGATGCTTTTCATTATTTCAATAAAATACAGATGGTCTAGCGTACATATACTTGACAAGAGGGATGTTTCCTCTGGTATACATGAGGCTGAGAAACCCGACTTTTTTAAAATGGTTAATATAAAATTAATTATACCAATCATTTATTAATTTTACATCGTTTAAGCTCTCGATGCGATTTATCAGCTGATAAGTTTATTGATTTTCCTCTTACACATAAATGGATGATAATCTAACATGCATGTAAAATATATAAAAATCTTCGACTCTGTGATAGAGCAATAAAGGATCTAAAGTAGATGCACCGTGTCTTATAAGTAATCATTTCGAGCAATGCTCCTCGAGTTTACGCGAACTGACTTGAACCCATTGAATCTCTTCCGGGAGTACGACCCTTCATTTTCTACACCCTCCATGTGTCCGAATGGATGCAGGGCGTCTCGACTTGCACTCAACGTGATTCAATTACGGCGAACATGCGCGCAAGAAGCCACCAGCCACTGGCCACTGCCAATCCCGTTTCGAGTCAAGAAAAATCAGGGACGAATACCTCGCACCGAGATTGCACGTTTCGTATTTTAATGTGCCGCCGAGATGCACTTAAGCGTATTCTAAAGTGGATGTACACAGTGTTTATCAGACAAAGTACCTATGGATGTAATACGCGTATAGAATGAATATTCTTGTTCGGCAAATCGCGAAGAGCGTTACGCTCATGAAGGATATGAAGATACAGGGCGTTTCAAAGGCAAAGTAATTCCTTTTAAGTATACCAACTTATCGATCCCATTTACTCACCTGCGTTGCTACTTACCTGCCTATCTTTCAATAAAGTGACAGATTATTGAACGCGATAAATAATCGATAACGATGTTCCCATCACCCATCGATTTTACGAAGGGGAAAGTCCGATGCCGATTATATCAGTGTAGCGCATCAAGAAGCACCTTAATTTACCGAGCGACTCGAGCTACCTCGTGTCCCGCTAATTAATGTCCGACAGTTTTCAAGTTTTTGCGTCGCGTTTAAGCCGTGCGAGAATCTCGCGTAATAGAGCCGATTACAAGCCAATTAATGAGAGCCCTCGGTACATTAATTGCAATCACAAAATCGTTGAGAATTAAGAGGGGATACATATTGGCACAGAGGTGCATGCGTGTTTCGTAATTATATTTTCTCGCTCTCCCGTGACCAACCTATACTCGCTACTTGACCATTTGTCAAGATTTGCATCCTATTAGTCGTCTAGTCTGTTGTCTTACCTGCCTTGACCCCACCATTTTCTGCACAATCGTTCACGCGCCTCAACCCTTCTTACTATACGTATCGTATACTATAGTTATATTATCTTGTGCCTTATCTTCTGATCTCTCTCCCCCCCTCTCTCTCTCTCTCTCTCTTTCTCTCTATCAACCCCGACCCGTATCCGTTAGTAATGATCATGATATTTTTTAAAAATAAAACTCTACTTGCATTGGTTAATTGCAAGTTCTCATCTTAGCAAGTTCTGGTTAATCATTTGCATGAACGAGATACTTTTTATATTAAAAGATCTCGTTGGTTTTCTTTCGATATTTAATATTGAAGAGATGATATTTCTCGACATTTCACTTGGATCGGTACTCACCGTCCATTGCTAATAACGGATTTACTTCAATGGCCTCTGATCATACAGAGCTTTCCTCCAATTATTCATCCTTTTTTCTCCAAAATTGCTGTAATACCCGCTATTTGCCGAGCGTTTCATAAATAGGTGCATCCCTGAGGAAATTTTAATAAAATTACACTCTTCCTCCTTTACATCCTGAGAAAGCTGAATGGTCGATTATATGGAATACTTTATAAATTATTTCTTCAAGAAGCTCTTTTTCACTCTTTCTACCTTTTTTCCAAATCACCATACGTATAAAAGTATAGTTCTTATGGCGGGTTTGCGTCTATTCGGGCGACTTCAGGATCTTCATCGTATTTGAGGTCCCTCGTATAGTATGCGAAGCCTCGGGCCTCTTCGTGCTTCAACGTTGTACGACAGCCTTGCATTACG